GTTCCCATTTTCCATTTTTGACGATTTGGAGCTCGGTTGAAATGATTTTTCGAGGGATATTCAGAGAGAACAACGGGGTAAGTGTTCTTAACTTAATTTTGGTTATATAACTCGAATCTATTACAAGTTTTGGCATTAAATCCATGAATTTAGTTGGAAAAGTTTAGAAAACCCTCCCAGATAGATTTGATGATTTGAAGGTCGAAATGTTATGGGATTTGGATAATTTTGGTATGGTTAGACTCGCAAGAGTGCAAGGTTTCTGGAAATGTAAATTTCACCCAATTCCGAGACGTGGGCCCGAGGGGCATTTTGGTTATTTTACATTAATTTCGCGTATTAGCATAGAATTTAATTGTAGAATCAATTACTTGAAGTATTATTTACAATATGCAATGTAATTGAATAGATTTGGCCCATTTGGAGTCGGATACTCGTGACAAAAGCGTGATATCGGGTTGACTTGCACTTGTTCGAGGTAAGTGGCTTGTCTAAACTTGTGTGGGGGACTTTGTCCCTTAGGATTTGATATTTGGTAATTGAATGCCTTGTACGTGAGGTGACCAGTGCGTACTTGAGCTAATTGTTAAAAATCCATTTTTATTTGGAGTATTTAAATTGAGTTTTCTTGCTTACCTGTTTTACTCTAATTGCAAATTTAGCATGTGTTAGTTTAGAGGAGCATGTTTAGTTGACTTACTTGCCTATTTGCTTAAACTGCCTTGTTTGTAATCTATGAAGCATGTTAGGCTAGAATTTACTATTATTCGTTATGAGTTTGGTATCTATTTGATATTTTGAGCTGTTATTGTTTGTTTTAAATTTGGGACTACGGGACGGCATCCCGGGAGATCCCCTGCACGTTTTATGTTCTGGATTGGGAGTGCGGGATACTAAGAGATCCTTGGCACATGTGTATATAATTATCGAGGATACCAAGATATCCTCGGGATACTAAGAGATCCCCGAATCATTATTGAGGATACCAAGAGATCCTCCGGATACCAAGAGATCCCCGAATTATTATTGAGGATACCAAGAGATCCTCGGGATACCAAGAGATCCCCGAATTATTATTGAGGATACCAAGAGATCCTCGTGATACCAAGAGATCCCTGAATCATTAATTAGGATACCAAGAGATCCTCGGGATACCAAGAGATCCCCGATTATCATGCATGTTGTGAGCAGTATTTACCTTGTATTGTCTTGTTTCTGCTTTCTATTACTGCATTCCTTATTTATCCTGTTTCGATTCTCGCTGTAGACTTTATCTATACTGTTCTCTTCATCTTATCATTGATTATGTTTATCTCAGTAGGGCCCTGACCTTCCTCGTCACTACCCAACCGAGGTTAGGCTTGGCACTTATTGAGTACCATTGTGGTGTACTCATGCCCCTTCTGCGCATGTTTTTCATGTGCAGATCCAGGTACCTCCACCCAGGCATACTATCCCCGAGGTGGAGAGATCTAGCAGAGACTTCGATGTATATCTGCCGCGTCTGCAGACCAGGAGTCTCTATCTATTCCTGCATTTAGTATTTAGCCCTTCTGTACTCTCTGTTCTTGTTATACATTCTGGAGATTAGAGCTATGAAGTATTTCTTAGCTTGTGGTTCCATGAGTTTCTGGGTTTTGGGATAGTGTATCAGAAGTTGAGATTGTGTTTATATGCCAAGCGGCATTTACATATTGCTCCATTCAGTTATTTTGACTTTTGTCTATTTAATTCCGCAAGTTTAGATTATTTTCGCATTGTTAGGCTTACCTAGTCATAGGGACTAGGTGCCGTCACGATAGTTCACGGAGGGAGAACTGGGGTCGTGACACTCACCCTTCAAACTGCACTTGTAATCTTTCCATTTGTTTCATAGTGACTTTAAGACCCACGCCTCTCCACGTTTTGGGATAGAGAACTTCTTTTGAAAAAATAAAAGCCAATATTTATAAGATAACATCATGTATAATAGATAGAGCATATTCACAAAAAAATAAAAATAAATAATAATAATAACAACAACAAATATTTCATACCCTCGCAAAATCCACCAATTTCTTCTTTTCTTCGTTGTCAAAATTTCTTCTTTTCTTCGTTGTCAAAATATGTAGAGGCGTTAGTTCTGGAGTTCTGGCAATAATTCCTAGAAAGCTAGCAAGCTTTCGTCCCTCTTTCCCAATAGCTTGGTTACGATTATTAAAGGGCACATCAATTCTCTTCCCCGGCGGAAGTTTCCAGATCTCTTTTAGTAAAGTAGGCCCACGAACATTTTTTTTTTCTGAATTACCTAGAATGAAAAAGAGAACAAAACGTTAGGTAGTACAATAGCTATTTAGTGAGTTTGAATAGCATATCTCCAGCGGATGCAATATATAGTGAAGCTGCTGCAGATGGTAAAGGAGCTGGTCAAAATATTAAAGTTGTCCCTAAGGCTATCACTGATCGAGTGGAGAATAAAGCTGTTGTTATGCAGGTTTCTAGGCAGCAACAGACTTTGAATTTGCAACCTGGGAATCATAAAACTAGTGCTATAATGAATCGGATGACTGTCGCTAATGCTTCTGTGGATCGTGCTATTGGAAAAGGCTTGGAATTAACAGAAGACAAAGGTGTAAAATCTCATGTTGTTGGTCAAGGATCTGATGTCATTAAACCACTAAATACAACAGTTGTTTCTACGCATGCTACAGTTCTAGTCGACGTTGCTAATGTTTCACCTGCTCCTAATGGAAGTGATTGTGTGACTGCAAGCAGATTGCAGATGGAAAGGGTTTGGAATCAACAAAATTTAATGGTGATAACTCACAGATTGTTGTTCGAGGATCAGATCTAAATAAGATGTTGGTTACAGCAGATTGTAGATCTAAATAGCACACTTTGACATTACTACATCCCAACTCGACTAGTTTTTTCTCACCTCCTTTATAACAAGGTTGCTATGATAAATGCTTAATATACAATATACTAAATGGAAACTGGAAATGTTGGTGTGCCTTTCTAGTTTATGTCCACCCCATTTGTATTAAGTTGGCTGGATATCGATAATTTGTAACTAGCAAGCATAGGAGAGAAGAATAACATTGTTTATTGTGACAGGGGAAGTTGGAGAATTGACAATGGCACTCTCGGATTTACTTTGGGAAGATATGGCAGCTGGCCCAGAAACACAGAGAATTCCAGTTCCATATGCGTAAGAAATATCGGAGAATATGCTGATAGAATGCTCTGAATGGATTTGAAATCAATGTTAGTAGTGGGTGGTAGCAGCATTGTTGTATCACTGCTTCTTGGTTCTGTGGCATAGGAGTATGTCTTAATAAGCTTTATTTGTGGAGGTTCCCCGGCATTGCGTAATCAACCAAATAGTCTTGCAATGTGTTGGTACATGCACTTTTCAATTTTTATGTTTGGAAATTGGAATCTATTGAAAGAATTAAGAATACTGCTCCAATCTTTTCTTTCTCTATACAATACTTTGTGCTCAAATTGATGAATTCCTTCGCAACATGCAATCAGAATGAAGAAGCTAGAATCGAAGAGAGAAGCGAGAATGAACTGAAATTCTGTTATGAATGCTACAGTACAAAATGAAAGCCATTGTACAACTGTGAAAATGATAACACAGCCCATGTAAGGTGCCAAGCAATTGATAACACACAAAACAGCAGGAGGTCACACGAACAGCAGCTACATCACAATATAGGCAAGCAGAATCTGTCCAGAAGTTTGGTCCCTATCCAAGCTGAATGGAACTTTTGGCAATCAAAAACGGGGAACATGACTGTAATGTGGAGCTATAATTTAATGTATATTTGTAATGTAATAGCACAATAATGGATCCAATCACTGGCAACAGCAGATGACAGCTTCAAGACACACGAATCTCAGCACTTCAAAATCAATAAAACCTCTAAAGGTCAAAGAAAGCACCAAGTAAATCAAATATCACTATGCAATAAGCATTTATGATGTGCAACCATTAGAAGGAAACAAGTATAAACAGTGTTGAAATCCATAATCTAATATTATACATTATCAGATTGCAATACTATAGAAACATTACCTGAATCGTCATCATTTGGAATTTCAGTGCCACCATCAGAACTATTCAACTCATTAGATTGACCATCACGTGCTTGGGCGTTAGAGTAATTCTGACTATCCANCACAATATATGGAAATACTCCAATAACATGAACTTCACATAAGTTCATGATAATCACATTATAAGGACTCACGGTCATGCTAGACACCAATGTATAGATACTCGTCACCCATGCCTATACATCGTACTCGATCACATAGCAATTAGCAACAAGACTCAACTCCTATTCCCTCAAGCTAGGGTTAAACCAAACACTTACCTCAAAGCCTTGAAATCCACTTAATCCTCAACTATTGCTTTACCTCGCGGTTCCACCTTCAATCCGCTCGAATCTAATCACAAATTGCTAAATTACTTTAGCAAACACTATATGAATTAGTTTGAATGCATAAAAACGATTTTCCCAAAGTTTTACTCAAAATTTCCCAAAACGCCCCCGGGCCCACGTGGTCAAAACTCGAGGTTCGAACCAAAATCTGGTTACCCATTCCCCCATGAGTTTAAATATATAATTTGATTTGAAATCGGACCTCAAATCGAGGTCCAACTCCCCAATTTATAGAAAACCTAGGTTCTACCCAAAAACCCCAATTTCACCCATGAAAATCCTTGATTTCAAGTGGAAAACATGTTTAATGATATTAAAAGTCGAAAGAATTGAGTAAAAATCAACTTACAAATGATTTGGGATGAAGTTTGCTCTTGAAAAATCGCCTATGGTGTTTGGGTTTTGAAAGAATGGTGAAAAGTGGTGAAAATTCGACTAAGTATAAAATTTGCTGGGCCTCGGATATGGGAAATGCGAACATAGGTTCGCATTTGCGAACAATGCAGGCCTGGGAAATGCGAGACTATTTTTCGCATTTGCGAATTCAAGCTGCCAGGGGACCCTTCGCATTTGCGAACTGGGTCTCGCATTTGCGAACCAGGGTCCATCGCATTTGCGATGCCTGGTTTCGCATTTGCGAAGCTTGGTCTACCTGGGCTGGTTTCGCATTTGCGATAGCTGGGCCTTCGCATTTGCGAACCCTGGCTTCGCATTTGCGAAAATTGTAGAAGCCAAATACAAGATTTTTCAAAACATGAGAAATGCAATCTGATGCCTATCCAAAACTCACCCGAGCCCTCGGGGCTCCAAACCAAACATGCACACAACCTCAAAAACATCCTACGGACTTACTCGCGCGATCACATCGCCAAAATAACATCATATACATAGAATCAAGCCTCAAAACTCATGATTTTCTTTGAAATGCTCATAAAGCCTCAAATTTCCATTTCGAGTCCGAAACACGTCAAACGACGTCTGATTTCGACCAAACTTTACAGAAAGCGCTTAACACATATTTAAGTCTTGTACTGGGCGTTGGAATCAAAATACGAGCCCGATACGATAGTCTTTTAATCAATTTTCATTTTCATTTTCCTTAATAATTTCAGAAAAACAATTTCACGGAAAAATTCATATCTCGGGCTCTAGACCTCGGAATTCGATTCCGGGCACATGCCCGAGTCCCATATTTTTCTACGGACCTTCCGAGACCGTCCAATCTCGGGTCCGGGTCCGTTTACCAAAAATATTGACCAAAGTCAACTATAATCATATTAATATCAAAATTCTTCAAATTTTTCACAGAATTCACATATTTCGACATAAAAGCTTTCTGGCTACGCTCCCGGACTGCGCACACAAATCTAGGTAAGTAAAACTGAGGTTTTCAAGGTCTCGGCAACACAGAATGAATAAGGAAACAGGTGATGACCCTTTGGGTCGTCACATGTATGCTTCTGCCATCGAACCTTCTAGACATGCACAATTACGAACATATGATTTTAAAGTGCCCAAATACCTATGGAATAAAATAATGGTATTAGTTTGATATTATAATATTTAACAACTAAAGATATATAACAAAGATTCAGTGATATTCTTCATACCTCTCAATTGGGTACATCCAGCGATAATGTACTGGCCCCACATGTTTAGCCTCAGTTGCCAAGTGAATTACCAAATGTATCATAACAGTAAAGAATCCTGGGAGGAAAAGTTTCTCCATAGTAGACAATGTTTCTGGAATTTTTTCTTCAAGTAACTTTAACTCTTCTACTTTTAGTTCTTTGCTGTACAGAACACGAAAGAATGTACATAGTTCAATTAAAATGGAACTAACTCTTTTATCTACTGATCTCCGTAAGGCAAGAGGAAGAAATTCTTGCATTATAACATGACAATCATGAGTTTTTAACCCGGATATCTTTCGTTTGCGAATGCAACGTGAGATATTAGACGCATAGCCATCTGGAAACTTGGCATTTTGTAGTACTTCATAAAACAACTCCTTTTCCTTTTGAGACATTGTGAAAAATGTAGGAGGAAGATATGCTTTCCCACTAGCTCGATATTGAGGCCATAAACTTGGTCTTATTTTCATCTCCTTCAAGTCCAATCGAGCTTCTAAGTTATCTTTGGACTTTTTACCAAGATCCAATAATGTATAAATTAAGTTATCACACACATTCTTTTCTATGTGCATCACATCAAGATTATGGCGCACCAAGTTAGACTTCCAATAAGGAAGATAAAAAAAAATACTCCTCTTTTTCCATGTGTTTTTCATCACTCCACTTACCCCTTCACTCGACTGGCCGAGAGTAAATTTTATATCTTTAACTTGATTCAACACTAGTGACCCAGATACTGGACAAGGTGCGGGTCTTGTTTCTTTAGTACCATCAAACGATTTTTCATCATTCCGATATTTGTGTCCTGACTTCAAGAAGCGCCGATGCCCCATGTAACAAAACTTCCTGCCATGTCTGAGCCTTCTAGATTGAGTGTTTATGTTACAAGAAGGGCATGCAAACCGACCATAAGTGCACCATCCAGAGAGAGTACCATATGCTGGAAAATCATTTATAGTCCACATGAGAGCTGCTCGCATTTGAAATATCTCCTTAGCAGAGGCATCATATGTTTCTATCCCAACATCCCATAATTCATTTAACTCTTCTATTAAAGGTTGCAAATAGACATCAATATTATTGCCAGGAGCTTTTGGTCCAGGAATAAGTAAGGACAAAATGAAGAACTCTTGTTTCATGCACATCCATGGTGGAAGATTATATGGAATTAAAATCACTGGCCATGTACTGTGTACAGTTCGCATTGTGCCAAATGGATTAAACCCATCAGAAGCTAATCCCAGGCGCACATTGCGAGGATCTCCAGCAAATTCAGGATATTTACTATCAAAAAATTTCCAAGCTTCAGAATCTGCAGGATGCCGTAGAACTCCATCTTTGTTGCGCTCTTCATGATGCCATCGCATTGCTTTAGAAGTTTCTGAAGACATAAACAATCTCTGTAGCCTTGGTTTTAAAGGAAAATACCTTAGGACCTTGGCTGGAATTTTTCTAGCATCATTTTTCCATCTAGAAGCCCCACAAACTTTGCATTCATTAACATTCTTATTAGCAAACTCTTTCCTAAAAAGCATGCAATCGTTGGAAAAAGCATGAATTTTTTCATACTTTAAGCCCAAGCCTTCAACTATCTTTTTGGTCTCATAGAAAGAAGGAGGCAATTTTTCTCCTTCAGGAAGCGCATCTTTTAATAGTCCAAGCAAAGAATTAAAAGATTCATTTGACCGTTTGAACGTGCATTTTAAGTGATACATATGCAGCAAAAAAGACAGTTTGCTAAACTTCTTACATCCAGGATACAGTTCTTCATTTGCCTCTTTCATGAGCCGTTCAAACTTATCCACCTCTGGATGAGGTTGATTTTCATATGGATGAGCAGTATTCTCTTGTACGTTTTGATCCATGCCACCACTTTCACTAATGTCAGTATCCATGAACTGTGTAACATCTACAAATGCATCATGTATCATTCCTCGCATATCATCGCCCCTTAAAGTTGAATGGCTTCGGTTATTTTCTCCAGCATTGTTTGATCCCTTTAGAGACTCCCCATGACAAAACCAAGTATCATATGACGGTATAATACCATTAACCACAAGATGATCATATGTTGTAGCTCAATTTACTTGATGGATAAGCACACACTCCGTACAAGGACATGTAATTTTTTCTCCATGTTGTTTTTCAGAAAATGCATGATTTAAAAAATCCTCTACTCCCTCCAAATACTCTTTACTAACTCTATCACAATATCTTTTATTTCTAGGATTGTCCATGTCATGACCCAATTCCCAGCCCGGTCGTGATGGCGCCTCTCGTGAAGACAAGGCCAGCCAACAGAACAACAACGCCTCTTTCAAAATTTATTAAACATAACTGATTAGATAAATACCACTTAATGACAATAATACTAAATATTTACAACCCAACACAACCCGACCGGGGTGTCACAATTCACGAGCATCTAAAGAAGTCTGAACACACCTACAGGGCTAATAATATACACAATAAAATCTGGAATCAAAAGATAAAGTCCGGTGCCGCGAACGCTGGCGGTCACCTTGCTCAGCTACAATAGTAATACCTTCAATCAGCTAATAACCCGCTACCGGGTGAACAATACCTGCAACTGCACGCGAGGTGCGGGGAGTAAAGTGAGTACTCCAACTCAGTGAGCAATAAAAGTAAATAATAACTGAGCGGCAAGAAAACACGTAAAGCACTCCATCATGCTATATAGGGCAGTGCAAATCTTTGAGAAAACAGTAAAACCGTGAAAATCCTTTAGAAAATATCTGGGCTTAGTTAAAACTTCCTTTGAAAATATCCTTTCCAAACAGTTAAGCAAATGAATGCGAAAACAGAAAGTGGAAATCAGCACATAAGTCAGCCCCTCGGGCACAACACTCTACTAACAATTAACACCAGGGTATCTGGTAAACAGTGCAAGAAGTAGCATGGATGCCAATAAAATGAGAGTGTTGAATGTCATGACACGTAGTACAAACAGGAACCCATGCATGAATGCAATGCGATGCGTATGACCGCTGCGGCGCACAGCCCGATCCATTTGGGTACTCGCGCTCACTGTGGGGGTTCAGACTCCGGAGGGGCTCCTACAGCCCAAGCGCAATATCAATATCACACCGTTGTAGCGTGCAGCCCGATCCATCCTCAGTCAAGAAATGCACATATAACACTGCTGCGGCGCGCAGCCCGATCCATGCTCAGTCCAGAAATGCACATAAGCCCCTACGTCAGTAAAATATCGTTTAAGTTTTTCAAATCTTAGAAAAATGGCTGAGTTTGCGAAACAGTATTTAAAACCTTGGACTGAGATCAAATAATATGCATAAGTAATGCGAAAACAATAATATCAATCCCTGATGGATTCAAACAATTGGCACGAAGCCCAAATGTGGCAATCAGCCCGAATCATGATAATAACAAGTAGTTTCAGTCAAATACGCGGTAAAAATCAACAACCGGGACGGACCAAGTCACAATCCCCAACGGTGCTCTACCCCACGCTCATGTCTGGCGTGCAAGTCACCTCAATACAGCACTATGATGTGCAAATCCGGGGTTTCAAACCCTCAGGATATCATTTTCAAGTATTACTCACCTCGAACCAGCGAAATCTCTAGCTTGCGACGCCTTTGCCCTTCAAATCGGCCTCCACGCGCGTCGAATCTAACCAAAATCAGAGCGAATACATCACAATATGCTAAGGGAACAATACCCAATCGAAAACAATCGAAATATAGCAAAAATCTCGAAACTAGCAAAACCCGAGCCCCGAGCCCACTTCTCGAAAAATTACGAAACTCACATTACCGGATTTCTCGTCTCGCCACGAGTCTATACATATCAAATTTACCAAAATCGGAGTCCATTTGACCCTCCAAATTCCATTTTTAACTTATAATTTCTCAAGCCCTAACTTACCCCATTTTTAATGAATTTCCACTAACTTCCATGTTAAATCTACCATAAACTCGAATAATTAGACCAAGGGACTTACCTCCAATCGATTCCCAGTCGAAACTCTCAAAAAATCCTCGCCCAAAGCTCTCAAGGTCGCTCAACAATGGTGGAAAATACCCCATGCTCGCGGATGAAATATAACATTTAAACCCTTCTGCCCAGTCGACTTTCGCTTCTGCGGATCAAATACCGCTTTTGCAACATCCGCTTATGCAGTCAACGTCCGCTTTTGCGAACTTTTCACTTAAGGCCCCATATCGCTTCTGCGGGTCCCTTTTCGCATCAGCGGGCCCGCCTATGCGGTCCTACTTCCGCTTCTGCGGAACCTGGCAAGGGCCAAGCTTTCCGCTTCTGCACCCTTTATGCAGCTTCAGCGAGACCGCACCTGCGGTCCCATAACCGCAGGTGCGAAACCAACAGATACTAGCAACCTCAACATGCAACAAACTTCAAAAACTCTCCGTTTAACCACCTGAACTCACCCCGAGGCCCCCGGGACCTCAACCAAAAGCACGGACATATCCCCTAACATCATTCAAACTTGTTCCAATCATCAAAACACGTCAAACAACACTAAAACCATCAAATCACATCGGATTCAAGCCTAAGTTCTTTACAAACTTCCGAAATGCACTTTCGATCAAAAACTCGACCAAACGACGTCTGAATGACCTGAAAATTTGCACACATATCCAAAATCACCTAACGAAGCTACAGCAACTCTCGAAATTCCATTCCGAACCTCGGATCAAATTCTCACCCATCAACCGGAATTCGCCAAAATACTAACTTCGCCAATTCAAGTCTAATTCTACACCGGACCTCCAAAATCAATTCCGATCGCACTCCTAAGTCACAAATCATCCCCCGAAGCTAACCGAATCACCGGAAATCACATCCGAGTCCTATAACTCATAAGTCAACGTCCGGTTGACTTTTCCAACTTAAACCTTCCTTAAAGAGACTAAGTGTCTACATTTACTTATCAAACCAATCCGAAACAACTCTAACACACCATATACCGATAACGAAACATGAAGAAGTATAAAAATGGGGGAAACGAAGCAGTACCACATGAGACGACGGGTCGGATCGTCACAGTCCACGACGCTCAAGATATTCCTTTCTTTTCTATAATTACTGCAAGAGCTACAAATTTATTACTAAAAAGGAAAAATTAATAAAAAAAGGTAGTTCAAAATAAAAAAAACTAATCCTATTAGTAGGTAATTCCATAGTTCAAAGATATCCTTTTAACAATTGAAACTATCAAACATAAATATATTAAGACTATTGTTTTAACAATTAAACTATTAAACAGTTAAACTATCTCTAATTTCTTCTATGATTTTCATATATTGGTTCAATTTTTTTTAATAGAATTATTAAACTTATAAATTACACTTCTTCTATGGTTTTCATATATTAGTTCATAAATCTTTTAAGAATAGAATTATTAAACTTATATTTCATAGAAGAACCATATATCATATATTTTAAAATTTTCGAAACATACTACTCTTATTTACTAATTTGTTTTTTACTCTTTTGTTCATTGAACATCAGTTTAACAAGTTCTAAAGCTAAATGGAATATAAGTTAGTTATATATATATATATATATATATATATATATATATATATATATATATATATATATATATATATATATATATATATATATATATATATA